TCAACTAAAGGAAACTGAAAACGAAGGGTAGAAACAAAAGGTTTCAATTGAAAATGTGGGAACTGAGAACCGAATTTAAAACTTCAAATTAATTCTGATTAAACGAACAAACCGGCATAATTTTCGGTGAAGCTTTGATCCGGTGGTACAACTCGATAAAATAGCTCATCTTTCAATGTAAGATTTGCTGCAGCAGCTAAAAGCCAACAATCGCCTAATTCACCTTGTACTACGTCGAAACGTGATTGTCCTTCATAAAGTAACTGCGGATTGTCACATATTTCCTGAGAAATAATTAAATGAAGGAAATGCAAAGAAATGAGTCAAAATAAGAGCAGATCAAAAGAAAGTCGTAAAACAAACTCCCGGTCGTCTCCATATGATTTGTTTGGGTGGACGTTGGCTGAAGAATACGCTTTTATCGTCAGCCGGAAATTGAGGATCCTCAAAAAGTTCTCGTTTCTGAAAACTTCCTTCATTAGTTTTTACAAACATACAAATTTCTCACATATTCTTCCTCTTTTGTATTGATTCGCTTTATTTTATAGTGGGTTTCAAATTTTCCAATTAAACAAATTTAACTTGCAGCACAAAAAAAAAATAGTAACCTACAGCAAGACAATTATCTCTTTCTGCGTAGAAGTCAAGTGCTTCGTCCGCTCTTCTGTCAGGTATTGGCGGATATAGACGTCGTTTCGGTTCTGGTGGTACGTATGGATCAACCTGTAGATGTGAAATCCTGTATGAAAAAAACAGAACAGTAAAGAAAATTTTCCATTCAATCTTAAGCTATCGGAAATAGCAGTTGATTTCTTGGCATAAACCATAGGGTGCTCTAATGGCATAAGCTGTTATATAGAACAGTATAGAAACCAGATTGTATAAGAAAAAGACTTTCAAGATTTCATAGTCTTTGCAGAATGAACTAAAAATAACCTTTCGCTTGAATTTACCGCTGATAATGTTGTCTAAAACGATTTTTCCAACAGTTCCAAGCTTATTGTCTTTGCCACCTGGGTGAAATCAGGATTTTTATACCAGCAATGATAAAAATGATTTAAAACTTAAATTACCAGAATAAATTTTGATTAAATAATTTACAAAGATTGAAAATAAGATTGCCAGTAACTAGATAATTTACCAAGATTGAAAATAAGATTGCCAGCAATTGCACCGATAATGCGCCCCGTAGTCGGGTCAACATTAAGGTAACGATGAGCTAAATGTCCGACAAGACCACTTACGACATCCGTCATACCGCCGCTTAAATTATTCGGATTAATGTTCGGACCTGAAATTTAAAAAAAGTTAAATAAAAACTTAATGAAGCTGTTAGAACTACACTGCTTGAGAATGAATGTCTATTCCATAGCTTTTAAAAAGTTGAGTTCAAAAAAAATTTTGAAAATTGTAGCATTGAACTAATCCGAGGAGAATCAAATAAAATGACCTAATTACTCAAGAAAAAAACAAATACATAATAAGTACCCCCATCTCTATAATGAGTATCCTTTTTGCCAATTAGCCCGCCAATACCACTAATAAGACCACCAAGCTTCTGGCCTTTGCTACCTGGTCCAGCCAAGCCACCAATAATACCACCAATATCACCAACACTGATACCGCCTCCGCCACCTGAAATGATTCAGGCTAAAATAAGCCGAAATAAGGCTAAAATAAGTTTCCTATAATAGGGATCACTTATTTCTAAAAAATTACCATGAGAACCACCGCTACTACCACCTCCTCCACCTGAGATGAAGCCCCCGATGATGTCACCAATTTGATCACCTGAAATATGAAAGAATTCATTTCCATAATTTCTTATCATATCTGTGATTTGCTGAAATTTCAAAGTTGATAGTTGAAAGATCTAACTTGAAAAAAATTCTGCTTCTAGTTGGTGAAAATTCTCAATTACCTTTAAAATTGTAACATTTCATATCACCTTCACCGGAACGATCACGTTCCGGATCCATACAGCAGGCTAATATATTGGAAAGCATTTTGATTGAATTTTATTAAATACCATGGAGCAATTATAATTATAGAAAGTAATAAATGAATCTAAACTTGAACTGCAATATTTACAGCATGTGAAAAAACTGATAAAAGGTATGATACAATAAGCAAAACATTCAATAATAAGAAATAATGATTTAAAATAATAGCGTTCATTGAATGGATGCAATGATGCGGAAATAAAGCTAATTATTTAGTAAAGTTACGCTGTTGTTTTGCCTGCTACTTTAGCCATAAATTATAGATGAAAAGAATATCGGTGAAATTAAAAATGAAAAAATTAGCTTCGAAAATGCATAATTATAAAGGATATAAACCAAAGTCTTTGGCATCTTTTCGAAAGACAAAAACCGGAATAGCTTAGTTGAGTGAGCATGAAATTCATTCAATATTTTCGGGAGAAAAAAGGCAAAACTTGCAACGCCTATAAGTTTTG